GGGCGGAGGCGGCGCCGCGCGGGGCCTCGCGGAGAGGAGCTGTGCTGCCCCCTGCCGGCCACCAGGCAGCCCTGCAACGGGACCTGCCGGGAAACTGGATGAGCCGCGCAGCAGGGTTTATCCGCGCGTTGCTCTCCTTCCCTGCATCTGGAACGTTTCTTTTTTATATTGCTGTTAAACAGCGGGTTCGAGCGGGCTCCGGAGTAGCTCGTGAGGTGAAAAATATCCAAGAACGAGGTGTTGTTGGAACTGGGAATGACAATCCCCGCTACCGATATTGGCCAGGGGATGTAAGGATGGAGCTCAGCCCTGCCAAAAAAGTCCTCGGGTTACTGGTGGATGGCAGCCGCACATGAGCCAGCAGCGTGCCTCGTCAACCCAGAAAGCCAACCGTACCTTGAGCTGCATTGCAAGGAGTGTGGCCAGCAAGGCGAGGGAGGAGAACCTGCCCATCTGCTCTGCATTGGTGAAAGTTCACCGGCAGCACTGCACGGGGAGTCCTCAGAGCAGGAGAGACATGGGGCTGTTGAAGCGTGTCCAAAGGAGGGCAGCTGAAATGATCCACAGAATGGAACAGGAAACGATCCACAGAATGGAACAGGAAACGATCCACAGAGTGGAACAGCTCCCCTACGAGGACAGGCTGAGAGATGGGACTGTGCAGCATGGAGAAGGGGAAGAGCACTGACAAAGTGGAGTAAGCTCAGTGGAGAACTACCAGGATGGTTGGGGCTGGAGCACTTATCCTGGCAGGAAAGGTGAAGGAACAGGGACTGCTCATCCTTCGAGGGGTCCTCGTGGCAGTTCCCTATCTATAGTGAGGCTTCTGAGCAGATTTAGCAAGGGTCTTTACAGTGATGCGTGCTGGGAGGACAAGAGAAAATAGGGCTAATTTCAAACAAGAGGCCCTCAATCTGAATACAAGGACAAACTTTCGCACTATGAAGACATTCCAGCAGAGGAGCGGGCTATTTGCAGGGCTTATGCCCAGTTTTTGGAACTTTTCAAGACATGACTGGTCAAGCCATGGGCAAACTGGTTTGACCTCATTTGCAAGGTCACGAATTAGAGTAGGAGAGAGCTCGGATGATCCTGGGATCCTGTTTTTCAGAATGTTGCACTCAGCCATTTGAAATCTGAATGGAGCTCAGTACACAAGCAAGCATTATCTCTTAGGTTTATGGCTATGTTGTCATTTGCTGTCAGCTTCTGTAGTTCCTCAGGTTTTACCTCTGCATATACCAGGCATTCACTTGAATTCAGAGAAACTACAGATGTGATTAAATTCCAGCTGAACATGGAGAAGGGGAACCAAGACTAGCAGAGTCTGTGCAGCCTGACATCTGCATGCCTCGACTCCATCTTGCTGTATTTCTGTGCTTTCAAACAAGCTGAGTTTGACTGTATCAGAATGTCAGAATCTTTGACAGCAATTCCAACATTGATTTAAAAAAAAAAGAAAAGAAGAAAAAAAGTCGCAGTTAGATTAGAAGTAGCATTAGTATTTTTTTAGATGGAATTTAGATGTGCAGTTTGCCAGTTTTGTTCTTTGGGACTTTGTTCCTCATCCAGGAAGTGAAGCCCCTTCCCTATTTGCTCAACCCACGTCATCACACTCCCACCTACGCACAGAGACCTCTTTTTTTTTTCTTCAAGGACTTGTCTACAAAGCATTCCGCCTCTCCCATTCCATTAGCCTGTCCTGCCTTTCTCTTTCCCGTGGATTTTGCACTTTAACAGTCTTTTGTACTGATCAAAGGACAGAGACTCAAGAGTTGGGAAGCTGAAGCTCCTGTGAACAACTCTTTCCTGTGATCAGGGAAATAACACTGAGCTGCATCAGACCTTGGCCCCGACTCAAAAGCTTGGGGAGGTAATTAATACATCTTTTTATAGAGATGTGGAAATCCATTTAGGGAACAGCAATTCAAATATGTTACCATTGCAGGATTTTCAGTTTCTGTGCTAGAAGCCACCTGTAGAATGCTAGTTTTTCTCTGAATGTTTAAATGATCAAGTAAGATTCTGGGTGTTTTTTTCATGTCAAACTCCTCAGATGCTTATTTAAATGCTGTAACATGTAGGTATTTATGGCTTACATTTGTTGTCTTTAAACTTCCATTCTGTTTCCTGAGAAGGCAGCCTGACCAGTCAAAACAGCCTAAAGCATTTAATTGTCTTCAGCCACGTCTGTTTCACAGAATCACAGAATCACAGAATCACCCGGGTTGGAAGGGACCTCAAGGATCATGTAGTTCCAACCCCCCTGCCTAGCAGGGCCACCAAACACACACATTCAGATCAGGTTGCCCAGGACCCCGTCCAACCTGGCCTTAAACCCATCCAAGGACGGGGCATCCACAACCTCCCTGGGCAGCCCGTTCCAGGGCCTAACCACTCTCCTTGTATAGAACTTCCCCCTAACATCCAACCTAAATCTTCCCTCCTTCAACTTGGATCCATTTCCCCTAGTCCTGCTGTTGTCAGCCCTTTTGAAGAGTTTACTCCCCTCGTGGGTGTAGGTTCCCTTCAGGTATTGATAGGCTGCAATGAGGTCACCACACAGCCTTCTCTTCTCCAGGCTGAACAAGCCCAACTCCCTCAGCCTGTCCTCATAGGGGAGGTGCTCCAGCCCCCTGATCATCTTAGTCGCCCTCCTCTGGACCCTTTCCAAAATCTCAATGTCTTTCTTGTACTGAGGGCTCCACACCTGGACACAGTACTCCAGATGGGGCCTCACAAGAGCCGAGTAGAGAGGGACGATCACCTCCCTGTCCCTGCTGACCACCCCTCTCCTGATGGAGCCCAGGATCCCATTTGCCTTTCGAGCTGCCAGAGCGCACTGCTGGCTCATGTTCAGTCTCTCGTCCATCAGGACCCCCAGGTCCTTCTCTGCCGAGCTGCTCTCCAGGCCCACTCCTCCCAGCCTGTACGGGTGCCTGGGGTTCTTCCGGCCCAAATGCAAAACCTTGCACTTTGCCGTGTTGAACCTCATTAGGTTCACCCGAGCCCAGCCCTCCAGCCTGTCGAGGTCCCTCTGAATGGCATCCCTTCCTTCCACCGTATCAACCGCACCACTCAGCTTGGTGTCGTCAGCAAACTTGCTGAGGGTGCACTCAATTCCCTCATCGATGTCATTAATAAAGATGTTAAAGAGCACCGGTCCCAAGACAGACCCTTGGGGGACACCACTTGTTACCGGCCTCCACCTGGACATAGAGCCATTGACCACCACCCTCTGTCTGCGGCCTTTCAACCAGTTTCTTACCCATCGGGTCGTCCACCCATCAAATCCACTTCCCTCCAATTTGGAGATGAGGATGTGGTGGGGGACCATGTCAAAGGCCTTGCTCAGGTCCAGGTAAATGACATCAGTCGCCTTCCCTTCGTCCACCAATGCCGTCACTCCATCATAGAAGGCCACAAGATGAGTTAGGCATGACCTTCCTTTGGTGAAGCCGTGCTGGCTGTCTCGGATCACATGCTCATTCTTTATGTGATCGAGCATGTTGTCCAGGAGGATCCGTTCCATGATCTTCCCAGGCACGGAGGTGAGACTCACCGGCCTGTAGTTCCCCGGGTCCTCCCTGCTCCCCTTCTTGTATCTTGCCAGCAGCCATGGAACCTGGCAGCATTTGAAGAACAGCCATTCTTTCCCTTTCACATGTACGACAAGGACACAGTCCTCAACAGCTGAGAAGAGCAAGGTAAGGAATTATTACCAGAGCTGTCACACTGATGAATATGATAGCCCTCTAGAGGGATCTGTTACTAGCTCCTGACTCAGAGCTTGATCCTCTGAACTGCAATGCTTAACTGCAAAATTTCTATCACCTTTGTATTTGCGCTTAGGGTCCTCGTCCAAAAAGAGAATAATGAAGTAGATGGAAGCAATTACAGCTTTTTTTTTTTTTTTTTATTTGCTATCAGGGTGTCCTTTATAAGCAAGGCATATGCTGATCTTTATTAAATAAATAAATAGATAAGTAAATAAACAAAAACTGGTATCCACATTCTTTTAGAAGAAGAAACTGCAGTTTTCCTGAGCCAGAGAAGATGGAGTTGTGCAGCTGTGCCAAGTGTCCACGTT